CTGGCAGGCTAACCTTAAACTATCTTCCATTATGGCATGGTTTCATTGTGCATGACTAGGACACATCCTGTCCTATATGAGTCACCATGCAAGCTTTATAGTGCCCAAACTAGTCTGTACCTTGTGCAATGAGATGAGTCTATTGATCATGTGTTTGGTTATCACATAATGTCAAATTGTTATAAAAATTTCTCAACACTGATACCAGTTTTTGTACTTACCACATCGCAAACTGATAGTAGCTGAAACCAGTATCAGTCTGTGGGCCATTTTGATCAGCCCACTTGGCCCACTGGCAAGTTACTGGAAGACTCCTTGGATCTTCAGAGAGAGCTGAAGGTACAGGGAACATTGATGGAGTAGTAGATTAAAAAAACTCATAAAAGCCAACCGTTACCTCATTATCTTTTGAAGTGACAAGAACATCTACCCCCTAATTCCTTCCTCATTTTGTCCTGTATTATGTTTATATATTCTAAATGATACCACTTTTTCTTTCCTTACTTGTCCCGCCCATCTTTCTCCCTATCACATAAAGGTGGATTACTTGGAAATTTAGTCCATAAATATCATGTGGTGCCAGAAAGTAAACAACTGCTCAAAAAATAATGACATGTCAAAAGGACACAGGAGCCAATGAAAGGGGCTCCCATTGCCGAAATCTGGGACAACAGAGCAACAAAATAAATGATGGTAATGGATTATAACACAGAGGCAAAAAAAAAATCCATGAATTTGTGTGATTATAAATGGAATAGATAAATTAATGGGAGAAAAGGGAAAGCTCTCCTTTACATAATTCCAAATAATAAATATAGAAGAAATAATGGATTGAGAAAATTGTTACTTGGCAAACACCACAGTAATAATTATTTCAGGGAAGAATCATCAATGGATGCTAAAATGAATGAGTGAAAGTTGGATAAAAAATGGGATATAAACATAGTCTTAAAGTGTCTAAGAATAAAAGAAAAAAGTAACTTCATAGGGGAGACACTTGGCATGTACCACCTTAACCAGTTACCATTACCAAAATGAGACATTGACATCATATGCCTCCTGATAAGGATGCACCGAGATGGACACACCACTTCTGTCGTATTCTTTCCAACAACTCGTAACCTGAATTTCATCATGAGCAAATATCAGGCAAACCCAAACTGAGGGACATTCCATAAAATAAGGGGCCATTAATCTTCAAAAGTGAACTGTCCAACCATACTGTTATCTGTGTTTATGAGTTTTTGTTTGTGGTGTTTGTTCATTTGTTGTTTTCAGTTTATAAAAAAATTTTTTAAGTGACCTGTCCCAAAATAAAGGAGACTAAGGAGATAGGACAACTAAATGGGTGTGTGTTCCTGAATTGGATCTTGATCCAGTAAAAGATCATTAGTAGGCCCATTAAAATAATTTAACCAGTTTGTTACTCGTGTTTGCAACCAAGAAACTGACTAGTGTATATCCATGGTACAATGATGGGTCCAAGCCGAGTTCCTTGAATTTAGTTATGTTGTTATAGTTTGTATTAAGCATTCACAAATCTTAGAACATGTTATCCCACTGAAAGCTAATTTTTACAAACCTAGACTATTACCACTCCATCCATTTGTACATATTAAAAACTTTGATTCAGAGAGATTAAGGCTTTTGCCCAAGATAACTCAGCCAGTAAGTGATGAACTGAATTCATCTGTATGACTCGTGCGTTTTAATTATAATGCTTCTTACTAACAGCATTCTTCAACAATTCTATTTTTCCCAAGAAATCATTCCATAGTCATTCTGTCACAAGGTTAGAAAGAAACTTTGCCTAAGTCTAAGGTTAGAAGGCTTGATGCCACTGCATGACTTATAGAATGGTCATTGACACCTATGTACTTTGGACATTGTTGATCATCTATTAAAAAGTGTATGGACCATGGCAGTCCAGGGGGAGGTGAGGGTGGGTAGAGGGACAAGTCTGGGCAATGCTCGGGAGGTGGCACCAGTTCACGCACCCGTTCAAGTGGCACTTGTCCCAGCAGTTCTTGCTGATCACGCTAGCTCCGTCTTCTGTACTCCTGCACCCTGAGCTCATCTGCAAACATCCTGGTGGTATTTCTCACCATGCCTAGCCCTTGGGATTGCTTCTCATTGTCTTCTTCCTCTTTGTCCTTGTTCCCAACTCCCATCCCAGATCAACCACAGCCCTCTCCCTGGGGGTCGGCAGCCCAAAAAGAGGTGCTTGGCTGCTGCTTGAGCCTAGAGAGCTCAGACTGCGAGTCTCTGGACAGAAGCAACAGTGGCTCTGGGCCAGAGGAAGACGGCATACTTGGATGAGGTGCCCCTGCCTGACTTCGAGCTGCCCTGAGGACGAGCACCTGTGTGCGATCCTGATACATCTGCTGCAGGAGAGCCTGGCCCAGGCATGAGTGGGCTCATGGGGCCCTGTGCGCCTGCTGATGCCAGGCCAGCTGGTGAGACAGGTGGGCAAAGAACTACTGTGCCTGGTCTACAGCGAGCCGTGTGGCCTGCAGGGGGCGCTGGTAGATGCCTGTGTCAAACAGGGCAAGAGCTGCCAGTGTCAGCCAGCTGGCCCTAGACCCCAGCCGGGTGCCCACCTTCCAGCTGACCCTCATGCTGTGCCTGGACTCAGGCCTCTTGTCCAAGATCCAGGGACTGTTTAGCTCCACCAGCGCTCCCTGCAGCCAGTCCCTGATGCTGAGCACCAGCTTCCAAATCATCAAGAAGCTGTACAGCTGAGAACAGCTGCTCATTGAGTGTTGAACTTGGGCCTGGAGGACTAACTCTACCTCCAACAGCAGACAGCTGAACTTTTGGGGTGGACATTGGCAGGCAGGAGCTGAAGGACAGATGCCTATCATTAGAAAACTGACAGCCACCTGAGGGAGGAAGGTCAAGGGCGAGGAGTGTTTCCTGGGAAGCTCACTGAAGTACAGGTAGGTGCCTTCTCATTGGGGGAACAGATTTGCCCCTCAGTACTGTGGCACGAAACAAAGGTTTAGGGGCCAAGCTTCTGGCTGGATGTGGATGTAGCATGTACCTTTATATTGTTACTGACAGTTAAGACAACAGTGGTGTGACAACAGCCAGGAGAGCAGCTAGCTGGGCTGCACTGGCCTCTGCAAGCAGTGTGTGCTCATGGTAGTTGGGGGGCGGGAGGTCTTTGGAGTGTTTTGTGTATCCCATGGTCTGAAGGGGCCAAATGTGTTGTTTTTACATCTTTTTTAATCAGAGCTTCACTACTGACCTGTTCTGAGGAGTGATCTTACAAATGCATGAATTTTAGGAGTAGAAAGAGGTGGGTGTTGGGATCACTTGGGGGATTTTTGCCCCTTGCAGGAAAAATACACCTAACAGCTGCATTTGGCCCATCTCCCACTGTGTCCTGAGTTTATCTGAGTCAGGTGGAGCTGACTGGAGCGGGGCTGGAACCCCTCTACCAGAGGGGTGCCATCTGAGTCCTTCATTTGTAAAACTGTTTATGAAGATTCTCCCTGTTCATGAATACCCTTGTTTAAGTAGTAAGACATGCAATATTTTTTTAGTTTTCTGATACAATTTTTTTTAACTTTATAGCTTCCATAATATTTGGTACCAATGAAAATGGATTGAGAATATCATTCCTTCAAAAAAGACATAGAAGAAAATAAAATTGATTCTATATTATTCCTAATAGAATTAGACCATAAGCAGTATCTACCACATGTAAAATTTCAGATGTTTTATAAACCCAGAATATTCTACCAATTAGGAATCAAGTGACTGGGTTTTCTCCCTCAATGCCAGTGGAACAGTCAGTCGGCCATGATTCTGGCTTTCCTGACTCTCACACACTGTGATTTATGTTCCTGAACAAATTAGACTTAATTTAAGAGCAAATCATCAGCAACAGGTATAATAATCTTGGCAGAACATTTATTTTAATTAATTGCTTTCTATCTAACATAGATAGAAGGGTGCTGATGCCATTTACCCTATAAGGATTAGTGCTGTCATGTAATTAATATTTTTTCTTCCCCCAGAACTTAAAGTCTCATCAGTTTTAAATTATAAAGGCATTGGTTTACTTCATATTTAATCATAATCCAACTTCTGTGTGCTGTTTATAGAAGCAACTTGTGAAAGAAAAATGAATTTTAATCACTGTGGCATTATAGATATCTGTTCCCCAAACATAGGCCCTTTTGGATTCCATGGGGTTCAGTGTTTCGGGGCTAGGCAGGTAAAAAACCCTCACCCCATAAACTTGGAAGTGGGTGGCAGTGGAGAAGACTTGAATGACTTTAGAACACTGTTGTTCTTCTTTGTGGAGTGATCACCTTCTCTGTAATTTATAGTTTAATGAGAGACAAAAAGAAAACAAAATTTCCTCTATTCTGTGGATGCTAAAACACTGCAGTTGTCAAAGGTACCTTGCAGTAAGTGGTAGACAACACAACTAAATAAACTCCCATCTTCTCAAATCTGCCAATGCTCAATGTTATTTATAAACGATTTAATGATCTTTCCAAAGAAAAGGCAGGAACAGCTAATACTAAACCCAAGTAAGGTTCCCAGGGGCACAGAAGTGCACCTCTCACACTAAAATAAGTTAGCTACATCATCATGAAATTTTAAATTCTAATATGTCTTTTAAGGAAATTATTGCTTTTACGTCTCTACCTTAGATAATCCTTCATATTCTAACTAATTAGTTGCTTATTAGTCTTTTAAAATGCTATGGGGAAATCTAAGCCTTTCCTACCTAAAGTCTAGTGTGAACTTATCATATATTCCATATAAACTGTATAACAGGAGAGGTAATTAAAGTGTCTACCTTCTACAATCTCAACAGGCAGTGAGAATAAACAAATGTTAAAAAAAAAAAAAGCATGACTCTGTACAACAAAATTGCCAGTTCTGATTAAATAAAATCCTGTTTAGTTAGGGTTTTACAATATAAAATAGATTTAGTATTGAAATGACACAAATTTGGAATCATTAACTTTATTTGTCACTCTTTATAGACATTGGTCCACTTCCACATAAAAAGTAGGGAGCATCTACTTATACTTACTCTTCTATAATGATGTTGTACTATAAACCATAGTAACTTACACAGAAGGAAGTTACTGGAGTAAAAAGATTTTTATATTCATGCCCCAAAATATCCCCCAAATATTTGTTTTTGTATAATAATGAGAATTTATAACTCCACAAAGCTAGTTTCTTCATAAATCAATGTAGCATTTTTAATACCTACACTAGACCATCTGGATCACCAAACTTTCAAGAGGTTAACAGAAATCAGGTGCAGGTCCAAATCTAAGCAACTGTATATGCACATGCATAGTTTAGGGCTGCTCTAAAGTTAAAAACCTTTTCTCTTGTTTCAGAGATATTTACATCAAATTAAGACATTTACAACGGTTCATACTACTAACAACCCAAATATAATTTTCACCTACTCTGTATAAGGAAGTTAAACATTCAAAATCTAATAAATTCAGTGCATTTTCTCAACATAAATAACACAAGCTATTCTAAATGTTTTTACATTTATTTCAGTGCATTATTTTCAAATACTAAATGGAATGAAATTATAATTAATGGTTATATTGTAATAGTTGAGCATGTTATGTAATCTATCACACAAATCAATTCACAGCAATACTACAATTCACTCTAAAACAACCTCACAGGTACACACAAAATAAGGAACAAAATTTGCTTTTTTTAAAAATCTAAAGTATACTGTCCATACTAAGAGATTTATTTTCACAAAACAGCCAATTTCCAAACTCCTTTTCTCAGTTTGGCTTAAGGAAAGTTCAATCCATTCGAATCTTCTGGTTTGTCATTCTATAAATGATGCTATCGTATCCAGGATCCATGTTCCAAATATTATAAGAGGTGATGATCACAGCCAAGGCCAAGCCGATCATTATCCAAAGTACCATGTTGAAAACCACTGAATACTCAAAATTATACTTATATGCAAGATTATAGGGACTTGATGGGTTATTCTACAATGAAGAAAAGAAACAAAATCAAGAGTGAAGAATTTTAAGATAGGAAACTATCCCAGTGTAGTAGCTATGATTCATTTATCTAACAAACATTTATTCCTAAGTGGCAGAAGGGCTGATAGTAGAGGAAGTAACATGATCAGGTTTGTCTTCAAAAGAAACCTTTGGTGACCACGTGTAGGAGGGATCTGGGAAGAGCAGGCTGGGAAGCAGGAAGCCGAGGTAGTGAAGTGGGGCAAATGAGGGCAGGGGTTAGGGCAGCAAGTATGAAGAAGGGACTATAACCCCACAGCCCCAGCACCTGGCTGTAAGGAAGACAGTGATTTAAACTGGAGGAAAGGATGGCCACACAGACATGTGCATTTACATGCAGGGAGCTTAGAGTGGAACAAACAGAGGATTTCACACTGGAAGACTTCTTCTTCTTTTTTTTTTTTTGATAAATGAGATCTTTTTCACACTTACTTTAAATGTACATTCAGTAAATTTTAGTATATTTACAGAGTTGCAGTCATCACCACAATCTAATTTTAGATTTCATCACCCTACAACAGAAGCTCAAGCGGAAGGCCTCTTTTTCTCCATGAAGTGGGAGAGACTGTCAGTACAGAGCTGAGAGGCAGACATGGATAGAGGAGAAGGATGAAAGCTGACAACAGGTAGTGCATCAGAGACTGGAGGTACAGGCAGAATGGAATCCAAGGGGTATTTGATACCAACCTTCCATTTTGGAGTGTTCATTTCAGTCTCTTATGTTTACCAAAAAATAAACCTTAAATTTTAGATTATATATGTAAAGCGTTCATTTACTACATTGTAGATAAAGAAAATCCAATGACATCACATGAATCTCACCCCTCACCACATACACAATAATTTCAGAAACTACTTTCTAATAAACTCAACTTGTTCATTAAAGCAGCTGATTCATAAATTCAATCTGACATCGCCGAGAAAAATTTATTCCAGTCCTGCAAAACTGGTTTGTCAAACTCCTAAAAGAAGGGTACCTTCTTAAAACAGCTGCATTCTTCTCTGCAGTCACTTCACCTAAACCACCAGGCCTAAAGTGGTCAATGTTCAAAGAATCTAGTATTTAAGTCTCCCATTAAAGCTCTACTCTGCCCTGGCTGGTGTGGCTCAGTGGATTGAGCCCTGGCCTGTGAACCAGTGGTGGTTGCTAATTCGGTTCCTGGTCAGGGTACATGCCTGGGTTGTGAGCCAGGTCCCCAGCTGGGGACTTGCGGTGTGGGAGGCAACTGATCGATGTTTCTCTCCCTTTCTCCCTCCCTTCCCTTCTCTCTAAAAATAAATAAATATTCTTAAACAAAAATATAAAAATAAAATTCAAATCTGCTTTTTAAAAAAGCATCTTGTTCTTTTTCCTCATTTGACTCCTCTTTTATTTTCAGTCAGTTTAAAAGTTTACTTTATGGTCTATACCCATATGCTATTACCTGACATTCTTCGGAGTCTAATTCTTCCATTTGATGCTTTAGTTACCATGCACTCATGGTAGACTGGCTACACCCATGTTTTACAAGGTTCTACGCTCACATTTGGAGAGAGTAACTGTGGCGGGCCCCCCCGCCCCCCGCCCCGCTCCATCCTGACTTGTGGTGGGGGGCATGTGTCCTGCCAGAGAGGTTTTACATTTAATTCTGCTGAGCACTACAGGTCTTATTAGCCTGGGACCAGGGTATGAGCCTATGTGTAAATTTTTTAGCCTGGGGCTTCCTCGGACTTGCAGGTAATTTAAAATTGAACTCCAACCCACACGAAGGTGGACCTGTCCTTAAGAATTCCCTAGGAGACATCCCCACCCCTAGTACCTACGATGACTACATAGAGCCCACCAGCCTTTCTGTCTCCCTTTGCTGGAGGGCAGATTGTTTTCTAGGCCACTTTTACTGAGGGCACAGTCCTTTCAGGGTCTCAGCTTTCCATGGAAGTGTCATTTCCACCCCCTCTTGCTCCCCTGTCCCACATTCAGGGACCAAAGACCTGATTTCCCCTCTCTTGGTAATCCAACTAGAAACGTCCATAAAAAGGTCCTGCCTGCTTAGTACACAGTTTTCAAGTTCCTCTTTATTTTCTCATGAATTTCCCTTACTTTCTTGAGAGATAAGCTATGCACTCAAAATGGTGTTTCTTTCTTTATGCTCCACATTTCTGGATGCTCTACAATAGGAAAAAATTTTCAGGTTGTCTAGCCTGACATGGTCCTTCCACTCCAATTTAGAGTAAAACAATCTCAAACAGGCATTACCTTTGACCATCTCACTCTTAAGTTCCGCACGGCGATCAGTAAAACTGAGCAGGGTGGGGGGCTACAAATGGGTCCAAAAGGGAAAATGAGTGGGAGTCCGCTCCAAGAGATGAGGCCAATGACGTATAATGTTCTTGATGTCATGATGTTTTGGGGTATCCACACTGCTGATCTTTGTATGTGCATGTACACACACATGCACACATTGAACTATGGTCAGCACCATTGCTTATGACTCTCTAAATGCTTAAAATCAAAGTTCATGCAAAAAACTATAGAAATAAATCAAATTATAAAGGGTGGATACATCGTGGATTTGGAAAATGAGGGGGCTGTACCACAGAGACAATGTGCCTACCTCCTGGAAAAGCAGGCCGAGAGAGCCACATCACTCCCTCACATTAACTTGTGATGGTCTCCTTGTAATACCAATACTGGAATTATCTTACCGGATTTGACAGACTTACTTTTATCCCTAACTCCAACTCCTGCATTATCTGATTATACCCCAAAGACATGTGCATTACTGACAAAACAAACATACCTATGTGGATAAGAAACCTGTTTTGAGATTGGTTTTCAGATTTACTGACTGCTCATTCATGCTGCCATAGGTGATATAAGATTTAGTGGGGTTTTTAAAAAATTAATTTCACAATTTTAAAGCAGGATCTAAAAATGTACTCAACTACTGTTTTGTTTTTTTAAGATTTTACTTATTTTTGAGAGAGGAGAACGGAGGGAGAGAGGAAGAGAAACACTGGCCTTTTGCATGTCCCTAACTAGGGACATGGCCCGCAGCCCCAGCATGTGGTGACTGGGAATTGAACTGGCAACCTTTTGGTTTGCAGGCCGGTACTCAATCCACTGAGCCATGCCAGCCAGGGCAAAAAATGTACTCACCTCTTGTTTTGCCTCAAGGATAGCCCTTGTCTTCCTCACAGGGGATGTGTCGAATGATCTGACAGTCACTAGCTCTACCACTGCATTCCCACCATAAAGACTATACATGTCATCTGCAAACTGAAGAGTTATTGACATTACTATAAATCTTAAATACATATTTATTTAAATTATTTGTACAACTTCTGTGTACCTTACAAGAACAATATACACTTACCTATTGGCTCCTAAAATATACTGCCTGAACATAGGCAATTCTTAAAGGTTTTGATTATGTTAAAATATTCAGAAAACTATTAAGCTTAAACATACATTCGAATGTTCAAAATAACTTTAAGAACCTGCATTTGTTGGCATATAAATTGGAAAAAGGGAAGTAGGAAGGGGATATGAAGAAATCTTCCTAAATGGTCTCTGGTTAATTGCAAACATCTATGAAAACTTAAATGTGAAACCTCACTGAAGAGTTACAGGTAAGTAATTTCAAGGGCAAGAGAACACTGGCATTTATTACATATCTACTAAATGTCTGGTACTATGCTGGTGTTCCTCCAATTTTTAACATTTAATGAGTACAGAGTTTCAGTTACGAAAGACGAAAGTTCTAGCAATGGATAGTGGTGGTGGTTGCACAACAATGTGAATGTATTGTACTTAATGACACAGAACTCTACACTTAAAAATGGTTAAAGTAGTAAGTTTTATGTTAAGTGTATTTTTTTAACTTCTTTAAAGATTTTATTTACTTTTCGAGAGAGGGGAAGGGAGGGAGAAAAAGGGAGAGAAACATCAATGTGTCAGACATACTGACTGGTTGCCTCTCACAGGCCCCCAACTGGGGACCTGGCTCGCAACCCAGGCATGTGCCCTGACTGGGAATCAAACCAGCAACCTTTCAGTCCGTAGGCCGGAGCTCAATCCACTGAGCCACACCAGCCAGGGCAATGATACGTCTATCTTAGCATTATGCAAAGAAAAAAGTATTATTCTGGAGTTAGCCATCATTTCCTATGCTTCCTCTGCCAGCATTTGAAACATCCCAACACATATCTTTGACCTATTCCATCCTTGGTCACTAAAATTAGAGGTCCCCTAAAGAAGCTAAGATTTCAATCAACATTATTCACTAAGCAGACTTTTCCATTAAGAGGCTAAAAGTGAAATGGTCATCCTCTAACCTCTCATACCCCATTGATAATTTACCTTTTGTAAAGCATCAACAAGGATCTTAGAAGCATCTCTGAATTGTTCAGAATCTTCTCCATAATGTTTCCCAATTTCGTCCAAACCTGCCAGCTCCAGTGAATATAAATCAGGAGAATGATCTCTGGCTAGATGCTTATGTCGAGACAACTGAGGAGAATAAGCAAAAGTAATGTCAAACATAGCCAGTTGGCGTTCTATGCCTAACTAAAGCAGGCTGAAGAGAACCACACCACACCAGTGTGCCACCATATACAAACAGTCTGAAATGGTGGCAAATGGAACTGGTTTAAATGGAAGTTTCCAATAAAACAAATCCAACATAAATCTGATTTTTAAGAGCAGTTACAGACTACCTAAGTATTAAAAGCTCTTCCACAAATTCCCTAGTTTAAAAAGTTCAGATGTGAAAGAACAGATGGTTGGACCAGTCTCATCCCAGGAGAGCACGAACCGTCGATGCTCAGAGAGCACACTTCCCACGCGCCCTCCCAGACCACCTCGCCAGCCCCCAGCTCTGTGCTTCCAGACTCCTGGAACCGACCCCACTGACAAAGTTTGGGCAACCACCTCAGTCGGTAGCAAACACGTAAGTTTTTCTATTTCAATCACAGGAGGATTTTTTTTACATCATTCACCAAAAAGCGGAAAATACCCTGTAGGTAGATTTATTCTCTTCCTGACTTGGTTGACAGCATTGTTAGTCCAAATTGTTATTTCTATTTTAGATACAGGATTTAAGTCTTAATGTCTGACAAGAAATCAACAGCCAAGTCAGGGCTGCAGTTAGGGTGGCCCACCCAAGTCTTGTATTCCTGGAGGATATATTCACTGTCTCCTAAGTGTGGAACTCCAACATAATTCGACTAACATGAGATGAGATAAAAATTCCCACCACCACCAATTCCTCAACTTTCACGGCACCATAAATCAATCCAAGGCATACTTGATCGAACTTTTCTATTGGTTTCACTATCATTCGAAGATTCTCTCGAAATGTCTCCTGGAACCAAAATAAATGGAACTGAAAACTTAGAGCAGCTTACTTACCAAACTTGAAATATCATGCAGAACTTGTAGTTCAGAGAGAAAGAGCAGATCAACCTGCAGAGAGCCGAAAGAAGTAAGAAGTACTTTAAATATGCATCAGAGATCTATATTTGCCATTTATCAAGGAAGGCACGGGTATTAGAAATGTTAAGCACTTAAGTGAATTTATGCAACAGCTATCCTCCACTTGGTAGGTTCATTTCCATTGAAGATGCATATAAAGCATTACTTCCCAACAGAAAGGTTGACAGTCATTCCCCAGCACAGTGACTTCCACTCAATAGCCATATTTCTGATAAAGCATCTAAACACTTCAGTTTCCCCTCAGGGCACCAGAATATTCTTGCACACTGCAGCAAGATCCTGCCAGTGGCCCAGTTTGCTCACATCACTTAAATATATTCTATACTGGAGAATAAAAGATGGTGGTCCTGGTCAACCATAGTAGGTAGAGGGGAGGGTGCCCGCAAGGTGGCATTCCATGTGGTTAAGAGGGTGCATGAACAGGTGGTGAAACTGACAGGAATTATAAGTAAGGGTGGCTCCCTCCACTGCACTGTCAAGAATGAAGTAGAAAAATTAGGCCAACACATCAGAAATGGCAGTGAATGGTGGCGCCCACATACCAGACTGACACAACTCTATCAGCCACCAAGTAAATTCTGTGATTTCTGGTTTGTCTGGATTAATCTGTGGCAACCCTCGTATTAGTAAAAATGTAATACCATTTTACTACTACAGCTCAACTCTCAAAAGGAGTTTCTTCATGAGATTCATAAGAAAAAAAATTACACTAAAGGAAAGAAGAATCTATGCCAGCTGTAAATTTGCAAAACTTTTCATTTTCTTACATGTGAAGTTTGCTCTAAAGTCAGGAGCAAAAGAAATGGGAAATCAGTAATGATATTAATTAATTCATTCAGTAACTGTACTTACTTCATTGTTCCTACTCAGAGAATTGAGGGGAAGTGAATTGAGAACAGAGTTTTCTTGAAACAGGCGATTGCGGAGCTGTCGTAATGTTACCGAAAGATCTTCAAAAACTGAGTTTGCCTTCCCCACCATATACACTCTCTGCAAGAGGAATCCAAAATTTTAAGTTTGTTCTACAGATCAATTCCAGTATACAGAGGTCTGACAGCACTGTTCATTAAAACTGGTTTTAAATTTTCATTAAATAATGAAAGCTAATTTTTTAAAGCGTCTTAAATAAAAATTGTATCACTTACTTCCTCGCTGGGAGCCAACTGCAAAACTACAGGAGTTTCTTCAGAAAATAAGGAGTGAATGGAATTTGCAACACTGTCAAGACTAAAAGGAACTGCCTGAAATTTAAGAGCAAGACCTTAATTATTACCTGAATCAAAGTGGGAAGAAAAATCATTCAGATGGCATTAAAAAAGGAGCTTTAAAAAGAAAAAAAGCATCAGCATTTTCTATGGAAATTCAAAAGACCCAAATCATATCCAAACACAAAGAGCCCTTTTCAGGGCAGAGAAAATCAAACAGCCTCCTAGTGGGCCAACAAGTCTGTCTCCCAATGTGCCTAAATAGAAAATAACTCGTAAACACAAAGGAAGCAACACTATCTTGCACAAACCACAGTTTCCTGGTGGTCATTTGTGTATTTGAAGCAGCAATATGCTTGCTTTCAGTATTAAACAAACGTGTCACAAAGAATGTATATTCTATAACAAAGTAGTAACTTTCATTCAAGAGGTCAGAAGAATTTGAATTGAATTGAATTGAAAGAGAAATAGCTCTCATTTTTCATTTCAAAATTTAAAAAATATTTTATTAAGATTTAGGGTTTGTCTTCAGATATACTGAAGACTCTTAGACAAGGCATAAAGTATGTCACAAAATTTCCTATGTCCTTTATCTTACAACTACATGATATTAAATTGAAATAACCAAGTGTGCTAAAATCTACTTTTTGTCCTTGAATTTTTTTTATTGAAGTGTAATATACATATAATATGGTGCACAAACCTTAGGGTAAAAGCTCAAGGAATATTTACAAATAGATGCATTCATATAATCCAACCAGATCAAGACAGAACATTATCGGCACCCTAGAGGCCGCCCCACGCATTTCCTCCACCCCCCCTCAAAGGGTAACCAAATTCTGACCACTACCCCCATAGACCTGTTTTTGCCCATTATTTTTAACAATAAATTATGGATATTTTTCCCCTCAAAATAATTATTCTCAATGTTATGGTATTAAAACAAGCAGTATAGTAGTCGTGGTTTTGTTTTAATGGAGATTTCTTACAGTAATTTTTTTTCAGTAATTCCCTTTACTATTAAAAGGTTCATGTTTATAAGCAGCAAATTAATGTTAACATGGTACAGAAAAATTAATGTGGTTATATAAATCTTACTGATCAAATCCCACCATTAAAATTTTCTCCATTTCATGATCTTGTGGAACAAAATCATTTTCTTCTCTTCCTCAAGATGCATAACTCTTTCCAAAATTCTCTTAAAATTGAGTTAATAAGCAGTTGAAGAAAGGAGAAGTTCAAACTTGCAAAAGTATATTGCCACCAGCTCCTTGAGTTGGCCTCAAGCGAGCTCTCCCTTTCCAATCACACAGTTCACCTCCTCAGACTTTGGAGGGAATACCAGAACATGTAACAATTTCTCTAGCCTCATTTCACCTAGTGAAATAAAAAGTTGAAGATTAAAGGTAACACATCCCTAGCAATCAGACTAGAGAAGCTGCTGAGTCAGATGATCACCAAACTGTGAAGGAAAAGAAAAAATTATATGGACCGCTAAGCTCAAAAGGAAAAAGCTTGGCTGCTTAAAATATAGTGATTACTTTCTTCCACTGTATTATAAGGATAGGCGTTGTCTGTCCTGGAGAAAATGCAACTTCTATATCTGTATGAATTGAAATTCTAATGAAAATAGCTAGCTAATCAAATAGAAACTTCTTTAAGTGGGATTCTAAGACATTCTATTTTTTTTTAAATCTATTTTGTGGGTTTTGCCCTCTGAGCCTTACATCTCATTTACCACCTACTGCCAGGAAAAGTATTAGAAGCAGTCAATCAGGGTCAAGGACTAATACGGGCTCATTTCACATCTTCTACTCATGTAAAATGAGGTTAGTCTTTTTAAAATGTTTAGTTTTGGATTGTATGCTAATGAAAATCTTGATAGCATCTTGAATTTTCATACACTTATTTTAAAGGGGTCTTTCACAATGATTTTCACAGAAATCACAGAATCATGTACTTAATAAATAATACTTGTGCCTTTTGAGTTTTATTGTTCCCGTCCTTCCATTACTCTGAAATTCTGGTTTCTTTAGTTCATTAATTTCCAATCTTTTAATTGTCTACCATGTGCACTTAAAGCTATAAATTTTCCTTTTCTTACCACTTTAGCTGCATCCCACAATTTTTAAATATGTGGTACATTCATTGATATTGATTTCCAAATAATTCTGAAACTCTGTTATTTGCTCCTCAATCCACAAATTATTCAGGAGTGCATCTATTCCAACTTTCCTATCTTTGTTGACTTTTTAAAAATCTCATGCATTATACAGAAAAAAGGTCATATGTACAAATTGTTTAAGGAGACAAATAGCTTTATAAGACTTTTTATGGTAACGTAAGTTTCCCCCTCCCCTCATTTTCCATTCCTCTGAGGCCCTCATTTTCAAATCCTTTGTTTCCTTTTCCTTTTACCACCATCTCTAAATAATATATTACATTTTGATTTTTCAATTTTAGGCATTATCTATTTTTCACTCATTATAAAAAATGAGAATTTAGCTCTCTCACATCGCCAACCACAGCAGCACGCCCTGCCACATCCATGTACTCTGTTTCTATCTCTCCGCCCTCCCAATAGTTCCATCATAATTTTCACTGGATCAATATCATTTCATTATTATGACTAGCCTTATACTACACAAATAACTGCTTTTCCGTTCTTGCTCTTCTGGTCCCTAATGGCAACAGATAAGAAATCTGCTATCATTCTATTCTCATTCCTTCGTAATGACTATGTCTTTTCTCTAAAGCTTTTAAGATTTTCAGTATTCTTGATGGTTCTTCAATTTCATTATGTCTAGGTGTTGATTTGGCTTCAGCCTACTGGGTGTTCAGTGCACTTTAAACCTGAAAAGTCACATCTTTTATTTGTTTTTACCATTCCCAAATAGATTCTTAAGGTATCATTTTGTTACTGTTTTCAGATTTAACTGCACTGTGGTCAGAGAGGGTGGTTTATATGATACTGATTATATATTTGTTGAGATCTGCCTTATGACCTAGTACATGGTTGTTTTTTGTAAGAATGTCATGTGTGCTTGGAAATAATCTATATCAGACCACGGGAAAGTCTGAAAAAACTTTCCAAAAAATCATCATCATACAGACCAGTCTCACAATGTAATGAAATTAGAAATTGAGAAATTAAAAATGATTTTAAAAGAACTCGCACATTAAACACTTCGAAATAACTATGGGTTAAATAAATCACAGTATAAATTTTGAAATATTTAGGAGTGAATATCAATGAAAGCACCACGTGTCTTATCACTGCCTCACAGTTTCTATCCCTTCCTTTAACTCTCACAGTTTTAATGTGTGTATTTTCAAATCTCTTTGAGACTAGTCTATTGGGGATGAATTGTTTGTTGCACCTGCTGACTCTCTCATGGCATTTTTTTCCTCCCAGTGCTTTGTAAATTCAACTCATCTTTAATTTTTTTTCCCCAAAGGAGCCCCAGGCTGTGGAGGTGTCTGTATGGGGCGGGTTGCGTGAATTTGGAGCATAGCCCCATCCTGCAGTTCCGACTTCTCTTAGGGAACTCTAAGGCTCCCACAGCTAAGGGTGGCGAGCAGCTCCTCTATGGCAGCCCTGGAGCAGCTGGCGTTTCACTTGCTTTCAAGAATGAGACAGCATTCTGCAGACCCTGGCTTTCTGCACAGAACACATTCTAGCTTCAACTCCTGCTTACCACTGCGGCTTTTGAGTTTTCTGTTCAAACGTGACACCTGTGTGTGTCCCTTACTTGCTTTCAGTTTAGTTATGCACAGAAAAATGTTTTGGTGACTTCTGTACACTTGTAGTGGAAGGAGGGCCTCTCACAGCAGCTCGGTCAGCCGTACTGCTTCAAAGATTAGTGAAGGAGTTAAGTGAGCCAAACAGCCTTCAGTCTCCTCCTCACACAAAAATGAAGTAAAATTCTGAAGGGAAAGGGCGACATAATGCCCACAATAGTGTCGGCAGGATATCCCCCCTAACTGGTTTCAGTTTTTCAAGCCTCTAACTATTCTGAGAGTGGGGCAGTTTCTCTACCTTTTATCTTAGTACTCCCATCCATAGGAAACAGACAAGTCTCAATAAATTTATAACCACTATGTAATTTTTTAAAAAGAAATTGCTTTACTTACCAATCAGTACACACACACACAGATAAGTGTGCTTAGAACCCAATTCATAACAATAGCTGACAAGATGAAATAAAAAAAATGCACCCTTTTACTTTTTTATAATGAATACTCACATTCTCCAAAGGGTACGAAATGACACTGCCTGGGGGTAGAGCCAGTCTGTCCACTCCCTTCACCATCACCATAACAGTAGCCTGAGGGCGATGGAATAGGTTACCAACGGCAAGTCCCGGCCAAGAAAGGTCCTAAATGTGGAAAAGGATGAAATAGTACTTAATTATCAACTCAGAAAACCATGCCCCAGGAACATTTAATAAACAGAGTTAAGGGTTTCCGGGCAGATACTGTAAATGAAAATTCACAGGGAGAGCAAGTGTTTTATTTAGGGCAGTAGTTACAATTTCCTCATCAAGGATGTGGATTTCTGTGTTCTTTATTTTCTTAAAAACTTCTACAAATTTGAACAATAAAGTTTAGTAGTAAGTCACCTCAAACCTTTGATGGAAAACAGCAGGCCAGTCAACAAAACATAGGTGCTTTTCAAATTCCAGGTTACAAATAGTCTTGTCTTCATATAACCATGGACATTTTCTTCCCCCCATTATTGTCTGTCCTTACCTGCAGCATCACTTGTCTCTTTCAGGGACATACATGACAAGACTATCATTAAAACGTTCTCATTAGCCTAAGTTCTTTATAAATAAAAGAAAATTCCTGCTGAAAGGAATTCATATTAGTTTACTAATAATTATTTCTAAGGGTTATTTTAATCGCCATTTGAAGTAAAAGTCGTTAAAGAACGAACTAGAAATTTCATCCTTAAATGTAAACCACCAGACACGTTCACGGTAGGAGCTCAGGAGCTCCTCCCGGAGGCCTGGCAGAGAGAGTCCCCAAGTGCTGCTTCAGGTTTCCAGAGCACTCAAGACCTAGGAGGGACATTCCTTTGAGTGACTGATGGTATCTAGACACCACATCAAAGCACCAAACTTGTAAAATGTGAGGAGATAATGACAGGAAGACAGGGCAAACAGAATTCCTTTCCTTCTAGCCCACAGCTTTAGATTTCTCATACTGACTGGATCTAGGTCTCCTGTGCTACATCACGTAAGCAGCCAGTTAATACAACATGTTACAGTTTAATTGTAGGAAACCATGGCCCCCGGCTATTCCTTAACTACTGACAACACTACTTTCCTAAAATCAGGCAGGGCACATACACATTTTATCATTTATGACAAATGTAACAGACTGAATGTTTGAGTCTCCCACCCCAAATTCATATGCTGCAATCCTAACCCCTAAAGTGATGGTTTTTGGAGGCGGGGCCTTAGAGAGGTAATTAGGTCATGAGGTTGGAACACTAAAGAGTGGAGTCTTATAAAAGGGACTCCAGGCAGCTCTCTCACCCTCTCTGCACTATGTGTGAATACAACAAAAAGTCTACAGTCTGCAACCTGGAAGGAGGGCCCTCACTACAACTTGACCATGCTGGCACCTATCTCAGACTTCCAGCCTCAGAACAGTAAGAAATGTCTGTTGTTTATCAGCCACCTAGTCTATGGTATTTTGTAACTGCAGCCTGAATTAAGACACAAATCTATCATGTGTACTGAAAAAATAAAATTATACATCCAATTACTAGTAGGACAGATGCATTCTCTTATATACAAAGAATGTCACTACTATGAATAAACTATTACCTGGTTAATGATTTATAAGGATTTGGGTTCGTAAGCCAAGCTTGGTACTTATCCAAAATCTCCCCAACTACAAATGAGCTTTTTTACTTTTGCAATCTATACCAAATAAACCTATGTTTGTTTGTTACTTTCTTGGGCTATTAGCAGAAATCAGTAAAAGTACTTTCAGAAGCAGCTCCAAATACTTTTTAAAAACTCACATACTTCTTTCACAGAGAAGCCCATGGATAATGCAGCCACATCTGGGATTCGCTCTCCGGGAATAGGCCACTTTCCATCGCGGAAAACAACAGACCCTGGTGATCTTAATATACTAAACTCGTTCCCCAAAACACCTGAGAAGAAAACAGATTAGTCAATGAATGATCAGCATCATAAATCTTTTGCATCCATGTTGAAGATTATTAAATGCTTCCCTCTTCCTTTGACTTAGCATACTAAGTTATGATCGGACAAAATGCTGAATCCTAAATAAATATCATTGAATTCTTTTTCAAGGTATCACTCTAAGAATTTAAGTCCACACACTCTGCTGTAACAAAGGTACAACTATGAAACCAGATTCTCTTAATGATCTAGATGCCTTCCTTCAAATGGCCCTGAAACAGGGGCATGTTGCATTTGTCAAGAATTAGAAATCAGTGGCACTTCTCCAGAATTTAAGAAACGAAAAACAAAATCCCAGCACAGACTAACACGGAAGAAAGGAAAGTTAAATCTCTAAAATTATTTCTATCACTGACCCTCTCTTCAAAATGCAAATTCATAAAATTCCAAGCATTTCACCCTAAAACTATAGCAGGTCAGTATATCTTAGCAAAGATTATATCTTTCCTTTAATCTCACAGACAAACCTAGTGAAATGAGGACTGTCAATCGGGGGTACATGTTACTAGTCAGAATATAAAACACTTCAGACTTTGGAAACAAAATACAGAAAATATTATTTCCAATGGACGTATCAAGGTGAGAAAAGGTATTCTGTAATAATAAAGTCAGCTAGTCTAAGGGTATGGGGCCAGTGATTAAAAGGTGAAGATGAGCCCTGGCTGGTGTGGCTCAATGGACTGAGCGCCGACCTGCAAACTAAAGGGTCGCTGGTTCGATTCCCAGTTAGGGCTCATGCCTAGGTTGCAGGCCAGGTCCCCAATAGGGGGTGTGCAAGAGGTAACCACACATTGGGATTTCTCTCCTCTTTCTCCCTCCCTTCCCCTCTCTGAAAATAAATAAAATAAAAGGCAAAGGAGAACAAAAGGACTAATTTATAGGCCCTCCGAGGCTGAGGATGAGGTATCTGGCCTCCTAACCCATCCTGTGTTAACCCAATGATGTCGAGCTTACACAAGGCCCAGAAGCTAATGGGACCTTTTGGGTTCCTATGAAAAGACTAGCTCCAAGTCCAAAACAAATCTTGTTCATGCCTAGCATGGGAAATGAGACTTTAATAAAGCATTATTGTTATTCTCTTGACCTAAGGAAAGTATCACTTATAGAGTATGGGAATAAAGTTGGAAGCAAGAGTAAATGTTTTGGTGTTGCAGTATTGACAGTAAATAAAAGGCCTCAGGATGGTGCTGATACAACATAGGGAGTTATGAGTTTCGATTCAATGCAACTACCAGAGCAGAAATTTCCAAATTGTTCTAGCTTGAGGCAGACCAAAACAAAACAAAACAAAACAAAACAAAATGGAATGGCCATTTGTAACTGATAAACATCTTAGTTCACTAAAGTAGTACTTACTGCAAACTCTAAGAAAAATGGGGCAGCAAGAGACCCATACTTTCAAAGTAACATGCACATTTTAAAGATTTTGTTTATTTATTTAGAGAGAGGGGAATGGAAGGAGAAAGAGAGGGAGAGAAACATCGATTTGCAAGAGATACATGATGAGTTGGTTGCCTCTGGCACACTCCCAACTGGGGACCTGGCCTACAACCCAGTTATGTGCCCTGACTGGGAACTGAACTGGTGACCCTTTGGTTCCCAAGTTGGTGCTCAGTCCACTGAGCCACACGAGCCAGGGCAGTAACACACACATTTTAAAAAACCATATTAGATCTGAAGATAGCCCTGTTTTAAAATGTGGCCCTACTCACTCAACCCCAACAAAGTTATGCTAAATTACTTCACCTCAAATTTACAGTTGGTTAGATTCTACGTCTGTGCCTGATCAACAGTCCTTCAGAACCCTAAGCTTTAGAAAACCTTAGTCCTATACCAACAAACTGCTGCTTAATGCAGGTATCTCTGGATACTGAATACCTGACAGAAAGTCGCAAGTCCTCTACCTGAAGGGGGTCACCATATCATCTTACAAACTCTATTAGCTTGCCAGCAATCATTTCCATTGTCCCGACAGTCTAGTCCTTTAAAATGTTTCCTGTTTTACTGATCTGAAATGGACTTCCTCACTTCTTTCACCTTTGATCACTCCTGACTGGGTCTCATCAGATAACCTTATCTCCAACTTCAAGAGAAAGCAGAGGAATTCCTCCAGCTACCTGCTTCCTCTCACCACCACAAATTTGTCTGCTGTGAGCCCCTATCCTTATCTCCTCTCCTTCCAGATGCTGGCGGGGATGTCCCTCTCCCAGTCTAAAATACCGGTAACCCTGTGGCTCAGTCTCCTTAGGGAGCTTCATTCATTCACCTATTAAATTATTCATTCAGTGTTGATTAAGCCACTATTCTGGGACAGTGTATCAGGAGTTAGATGCGTATATAGTTGCAGGAATAAAAAGCTGGCCCCATAGAATGGAAGCTCCACAAGGGCAGGGATTTCAGTTTGTCTTATTCACACAACATCCCCAGGGCTAAGAACAGTGCCTGATACATCGGTGCGCAAAAAATACTTGTTGAGTTAACGAATGAAGCCACACTTTACACTACCAATTTTCCCATATCAAGTCGCTCTTTCACTTCAGCATAAAAACACACTGAGGGCGGCTCCCATTCTAAAAATAAAACCACAAAAAACCTCCTTTGGTCCTCCCAGCCTCCACCAGCCTCTGCTTCCCTTCGGAGGAGGAATCCTGGCAGAGCAGCCAGCTATGTTTGCTTCTCTACGTCTTCATCTCACATGTGCTACCTACTCCACAGCTCTCACCCCACCACGCCACTGAAACGACTCACCAAATCCAAAGGACAATTTTCAGCCCTTCATTTACTTAACTTCCCAAATCATCAGATACCAGCAACTCCCTCCTTGAAAATCTCCCACCTTGGCTTCTAAGCCTGGGCCCTGGTTTTAATTCCAATCCCTCTGGCTGCTTCTCCTCAGTTCCTTTCCCTTTCCATCCTTGAAAGCTGAGATGTTCAGACTTTTTTAGTTTTCAACCCTTTCGGTACAAAATTTGAAAGTATGTAAGTGTGTATTTATTTACAAAGTATACACTTGTAGTATAATAGATGATATATTCATAATATATTCCAAAGCGCACAAAAATGGAAATTTTTAAAAAGGAGATACCTGTGTAGTCTTCTTCCCAATTTAATCATGAGAAAATATCAGACAAACTCAAATTGAGGGACATTTTACAGAATATCTGACCATTACTATACCAAAGAGAGAGAGAGAGAGAGAGAGAGAGAGAGAGAGATAAAAAATAAATATAAATGGACATTCTAGTACATTCTTCTGGCATCCCAGTAGATCAACTAGCATACTCCAGCTTGGAGAGCTGAGGACTCCAACTCTGACCTTCACCGCTTTCCTAGTCTCTCTCCTAAGGCTGAAAACACCAAAACACCTTGATGGCTCCCACATTTTGATTTTCAGCCTACATTTCTCTTGCCCCTTAGACCTATACACCCAACAGTCTGCTGAGCATTTCCTTCTAAGTAAGTCCCATGAGTACTTCCAAATCAACAGGTTCAGAACTGAATTCACCATCTTTCCACGTGTTCCTCCTGTATTCTCTGTATCTATGGATGACGCCACCTTCCACCAAGCGGCTCAAAGGGGTCGCCTTTAAATCCTTCCTCAGCACTGCAGCTCATCAACCACCGAATTCTATTTTTTTCTCTGGTTATCCCACGAATCCTTTCCCCTCCGTGTCCAGTGCCCACTCTCCAGGCACTCACCAGGCTTGCTGGAACCGGCCACCTTATGACCTGTCTTCCTATCAAAATACCCATCTGTTCATTTGTCCTTCAGCTAAACCACTTTCACTCACCGCCCAGAGCCTTTGAGACAAAAATGCAAAACATAACACCTAAGGGCACCTCACTGACATTACTTCTAAGATCTCTCAACCCCTTAACCTCTACACATTCCAGCCCCACCAAACTATTTACTATTTGCTCTCGTACCTCTGTGCTTTTTACACATGCTGTTCTGTTGGAAATGCCTTTTCTTTCCACCCTAACCTTTCACATTTGTCCTCTGAGCCCCGAGCTAGAGGCTAAGCCCTATGCCCTTTGGAAACTCTCACAATACTATGCTGTGATCTATGAATGGTCGATGGAATCCATAAGTGAAAGAAATAAATAGGTCCTACTTTTCACCTCTAGGACATCAGTGACCAAATCAAATCCCTCTTCGAAAGGACATCTCGTCAACTTCCATGTATTTCTTACTCTTGGCCTTTCCTCTCCAGGCTAAACATCTGAATTTTTTCAAATACTCCTTAATACATTGTGTTTATAACCCTAATTCCCTTCCTCTAGTCTCTCTCTGATTTGGTAAAACCATTTTAAAGGACATTTTTTTCCCTCAAATAGGGAAGTCTGATCTCTTAAAGATGTTTTCCATTAAGTCACATTTAGTCATTGTGGAAAAAAGTAATTTAACCTCAGCTGACGAGACCAAGCAATGCAAAAGCTGACAAGGTCAGATTCTTGGTCTGTATGAACTAGACTATTCTAGTTAGGAAAACATGTTCAAACTAGGTCCCAAACCAAAAACAAACAACCCCTCTCCCAAATCTCACTGAATCAAAGTAATATCACTTAAGACAGTAAACATGGAATTAGAAGATGTTCAGATAAATCATAGTATCAAAGAGATGTTTAAGTTTCAAAAACTAAAAAATTCCACCACAGTAACTTACTAGATAGATCAGAATGACTTTCCAGAGACAGACACAAGAACAAAACCACCCTAAAATTTGGGGCCTATGAAAGTAAGTGTAACTACATCAACCCAACAGGAGGCACTCCAGGGAAGACGATGACCTGCAGATTTCAAGAACATCAGTGGTCTATACCCCCATTCACAATTAAACCACCGTTCCAAAAGTGGGATGTCCCAGCACCTCACAAAGCAGAGACACAGGCTTCCTATAGATTTTTAACCAATACAACGGGTAACAACAGTACCCAATTCCTCCAAATTGCTTTCAACTTGGACTCTTGTTGGCCGCTGTCTGCACCCCAGTTCAGCTCCCATCATTCCTACATTCTCAGAGTAGCAGCATTCCCGCCACCTGTGCCACAACACATGTCATGGAAAAGGGCCCCCGTTTTGGATCCAGCTGATCTGGGTTCAACTCCAGCTTTGCTGCTTACTACTTGTGTGATGTTGGGTAATTTATTTAGGCGTAAGCACTCTATAAAACGATTAAGGATTGTTGAAAAATTAAATGAATTACATGATGCACAGGAAGAGGTCAAATGTTAGCTGACTTGCAGGCCCTTTGCTTAATTCTAGGGAACCTAGGTACCACTCAGAAAGCTACCATTATTTGACATGTGACCCTAAGAACGTGATTCACATCTTAGTTTCCAAATCCCTAAAATTGGTAACTGCGACAAACTATTAAGAGGCACTCTGAATTCGCCTTTAAAAATAATCATATAGAAGCAATTACTCCACCTCCAACTTTTGTATCCTGAAACAATAACTGATAACTGCTAGAAATGAAACCATCAGAAAAACGCAAAGAAATGCAGCAGCTGATGACAGCTAAGAAGTCGCCCTTCCCTTCTTCGCAGAGGACTGCGGTTCAACATTTGATTGAGAAATGCATTGCCATCTTCCGAAGCGCCTCCCGAGCCGGAAGAGGCCGGAATGACCTGAGCCTCGAGACAAGACAGGCGGACGCGCCTTCCACGAAGAGGCGGAGGGTGGGGCCAACTCAGACGCCCCCCACGCAGCCCAGCCCGGCCCCGGCACACCACCACCCCCGACCCTTAGCCGCGCCGACACAGTAAGGAGGCTGGGGCAAAGCTGCCGCCCCTTGCCCGCACTGCGGCACCCGCCCCACTGCTGCACACCGGTGGCCGCTCCCGACCCCTGAGGCTCTAGAGCCGCCCGGAGCGCGCCCCGCGCGCCCCCAGGTCCTCACCCGCCACCAACAAGGACAGAAGCACGACGAGCACAGCCATGGTTCCGCGAAGGCTGCAGCCGTGTACGGGAACGGAACCGGCCAAGAGAACGCGAGTGACCACGGCAGCACCACCGGGTGACGAGATCCAGCTCGACCCGAGTCCCTGAGACCGCCCCGTCGTTGCCTCCGCTAGGCCGGCTGCCGCTTTCTCCACCAATCGCCAGAGACGCCGCGACCTGCGGGAGAGGCGTAGCCGGGCTAACGTCAGTGTGATGGGCGAGTCTAACGTGACGGACGGAAGGCCCTTCTAATGGTTGACGGCAATTGCAGAGCCGGGCAGTCCCGCCCCCTGGCCCGTGACAACCGGTCACGAGATGGGGGGTAGGGCGGACGATCGTAGGACGGGAGAAGCAGCTCCTGTCGAGGGGTCCAGAGAGCTCACGGTATGAGGCTTCCTCTCGGGTGCGGACCCCTTGGCCAGTGTGGGGTGACGGTTTCCAACCGGGGTGTCTGTCCTTCCTGGTCGCGTGGCTCCGCCCTGATACGGGTGTAGTAGTGGAAGCTGCGTGGCTGGTTTGCACAGATGCTGAGTACCAGCTGGGAGGAAGCTAGGCGCCCCTAGGAACCCGTCCTCAAAGTAGGGCACGACGAATAATTTTTAGTATAAATATGTCGTGAATATTTCATGGCACGTACTTATACTAAAACAACAACAAAAAACTCGTCTGTTTGAAATTCAAACACACCTGGGCGTCCTGTGTTTTGATTTGCTGAATCTGGTAACCCTACCTCCTAAGACTTTCTGATCTACCAGGAGTGATGTTACAGGAATATTAATTACTATCATCGTCCATTCACCCAGTGTTATGTGAATGCTAGATATATTCATTAGACCAGGCTCCTCCCTTCCCACAGCTCATTATTTATATTTATATTTATATTTATATTTATATTTATATTTATATTTATATTTATATTTATATATGATGGGGAGGTTACTCCAGGTAGCAAACACCGTAGGAAGTGGCAGGGAGAAAGCCTTGTCAGGTTGAGCATTAACTGAACATTTAACAAAAGAAGAGATGTATAGGGGAGGAAGCACATAAAGGGGAAAATATCAGTCAGGGACATTTATTGAAGATGTTGACTTTTATGTAAAAGTCAACATCTGTGCAACCTGTTAATTCCAGCAATAAATTCTGAGTGATCCCAAGGTAAGGGGGCCTGGTCCCTGCAAATCAACCATCAGGGAGCCCTGTGGAGGCCAAGATCATGTCATGCCCCAAGATCATGCAGCGCCCCCCACTCAATTAATACACTTCATTTGGTAGGAGGTGGGGGCCACTGAAGGTGTTTGAGCATTGTTCAGTGTACCAATGTGAGACACACTTGTTGGGGAAAGAATACCCTGGTTCCAGTCTCCATTTTCAGGAGAAAAAAAGGAAAGTGGGTAGAAAACTTGCCCCAAGAGTTTCTCAGGGAGCAGACCTACCCTATGAAAAATTGGCCCAAATGAAAACTGGAATCAGAAGAACACTTCCCAAACCCTCTGGTTTGAACTTTCTAGACCAGACTATGCTCACCAAAGCCATTCTCAGTTCAGCAAATGAAATCTGGATTTTCTCAGTCAACTGCAGGAAACTCTTGACTCTCAAATTTGCATTCTTTCAGAGGAGAATTTGCACAGATGTAACTTTAAAGACATCTGAAAGGTTCGAGGGGATATTTTCCCATTAGAAATGTGAATTTATTGGATTACCAAAAATGTCTAAAGTAGCTAATTTCCAAAACATCAACTCTAAAGTCACTGCCTTGAAAAAATAAATGTCAATAAGAATTTAATCGTTTTTAAAAATTCATTTTTTGGCATGATGGAGCCATTTCTTTTCACATCAACTAAAATTTCATTCTCTGTTCACCTTGCTGCATAACTTAGAACAGGTTCTAGACCAAAAGCTCTGAAAGAGCTTGTCTAAATAAACCTTCCTTATGGGCATAATCAGCTAAAAGTGGAGCAGAGCTCCTGCACTTTCATCCAGCCTAAAGAAACAGGAGAACGTGTGAATTTTTCTGTTCTTGAAAGAGTTCTAGGACATTCGTATATCTTTTATTTTGAAGAAGACCAAAGTCTTGTAAATAGACTGGAGTAAAACAAATCCCTCCACTTCCCCCTTCCCCAAGAAAAATTCAAAATCTTAGAAGCTTTTGTACTTAATTTATGTCTTGAGAAATAATACCCCTTTCTAAGCTAAAGGCAAATCGTTTATCCATACACCCTAGGCCCTTTTTCCTCTGAAGTCTTAAAGGGGCAGTGCTGCTTCTTACAGCTTTAGAATCCAGTAAGATAAACACTGTAGGAAACCTTCTCCTTGTTTCATAGATTAACAGATTGAAACCTGGGGGAGGACATGTGTACTCAAGGTCACATTCTGAATCATCACTAGTTCTGCTTTGTGAATGCAGCCCTTTGGATTCAATCTTTAGCGCTCAGTAAACAACTGGTGATGTGTGGTTAACATTTCCTTTGAAGCGTTTAGAAGTGGATATGTGAGTGTCAGGATGCTATTTGAAGGAATGACACATATGTTTGACTAAAAGCCTCCTCCCTCGCCACATCTTCCCTCCCAGGCCAAACAGCCAAGACTCCAGCCATCCATTGCCCTGAGGGGAGGGCTCTCAGAAGAATCAGCAAACAAAAATGTCAAACTCTTGGCTCTTGAGTTTCAAAAGGAGAGGTACAACTATAGATTTGAAAGAATATGTACATAATTCAGTTTGCTTTCCTAACTACCTCCCCACCCCCACCCCTGCAACCTGTTAATTCCAGCAATAAATTTTGAGTGATCCCATGGTAAGAGGGCCTGGTTCCTGCAAATCAGTCATCAGGGAGCCCTGTGGAGGCCAAGATTGTGTCATGCCCCAAGACCATGCAGCCGCCCGCTCAATTAAAATCAAGAATTTCTTTTCAGCCCTGGCTGGTGTGGCTTAGTAGGTTGAGCACCAGACTGCGAACCAAAGGGTCGCCAGTTTGATTCCCAGTCAGGGCACATGCCTGGGTTGTGGGCCAGGTCCCCAGTTGGAGCATGCAAAAGGCAGCCAATCGATGCATCGATGTTACTCTCCCTCTTTCTCCCTCCCTTCCCCCTCTCTAAAAATCAAATAAAACCTTTAAAAGAAAAAGAATTCCTTCTCAAAAGATACCACATACAGAATGAAAAAGTAAGGGGGAGGGAGAGAGTAACTTCACAGTGGCGAAACCTGACAAACTACCTCAGCTATGTGATCAAGGTCAACATCAACAGTGACAAACCATGTTGACACTATGTTCCCTGGATATGATGTGATGAAAATGGCACTTTACCTCTGTGGTTTTCCTCCCCAAACCCATAACCCCAGTCTAATCATGAGAAAAACATCAGACAGGTTCCACTTGAGGTGCATCCTACAAAATACCTGACCAGTACTCCTTAAAACGATCAAGGTCATCAAAAACAAGGAAAGTCTGAGAAACTGTCACAACCAAGAGGAGCCTAAGGAGACATGACAACTAAGTGTAATATGGGATCCTGCAACAGAAAAAGGAAATCTGAATAAAGTATGGATTCTAGTTAATTACAATGTATCAATATTGGTTCATTAACAGTGACAAATGTGCCATACTAATGTAAGATGTTAATAATAGACAAAACTGGATGTGAGGTATTTGGGAACTCTCTGTACTATTTTCTCTATTTTTCTGTAAATCTAAAACTATTCTAAAAACAGTCAATTAAAAAATACCATAAAGTGAAAATACAAGTCACAAAATGGAAAGCGGTAAGTTGTATTCAGAATATGGAAATCATTCCAACAAATCAACAACAAAAAAGACAACCTGATAGAAAATGGATGGCAGACGTGAGCAAGTACTTTATATAAAAGGAAATCCAAAGGGCCAGTAAATATACAAAAAAGATGCTTAACTTCATTAGTTGCTGGGGAATGCAAATTTGAAACCCTGAGGTACCACAACACACAACTAGATTGGCAAAATTTAACAAGTCTGAGTTAAGAAGTCTGACCATGCCAGCTGTAGGCAAGGATGTGAATCAGCTGAAACTCTCATAATATGCTAACAGGAATATAAATGGTGCAATGATTTCTGAAAACATTCTTTATCTCTTAAATGTTCCGTATTTTGATCTTGATGGTGGTTACATGAGGGGTTATCAAGAGACGAAAATACAACAAGCTGTTCACTTAAGATTCATGCATTTTACCATACGCAAATTACACCTAAAGATTAAGATATACATACCCTGCTTTGAATGGTGCGTCTCGGTTGGGCATTATCCCAAAAAGCGAAAGGTTGCTGGATCAATTCCTAGTCAGGGCACATGCCTAGGTTGCAGGCTCAGTCCCCACAAGGAATGTGTACGAGAGGCAACCTATCAGTGTTTCTCACATCGATGTTTCTCTCCTCTCCTTCTCCCTCCCTTCCCTTCTCTCCTAAAAAAAAAAAGAAAGAAAGAAAGAAAGAAAAAGATATACATATCTTATAACCCAGCAATTCCATTCGTCCATTCCTTGAAATAAATACTGCAGGAATATGCACTTACATGTACCAGAATGCATGTAATAGAATGTTCATAATAGTGCTGTTCATAATAGCCTAAAACTGGAAGCAATTTAAATGTCCATTAACAATGGGATGTATAATAAATTGTGGTATATTTCATACAATATGATACCATGACACAAAAGGAATAAACATAAATAATATATATCACATATATTGTGTATCACATGTATCACATGTTACATAAGTATAAATAAGAAATGAAAAATACGATTCCATTTATATAATGTTCAAAACCAGGCAAAAAGAAACTATACTGCTAGGGACAAACATAGGTGGTCAAAGTCTAAAGAAAAGCAAGGATATTGTTACCGTAAAAATCTAGAGAGTAGTCACCTGCAGGGTGGTAGAAAGGAGGATGTGTCTGAAAGGGACATGTAGAAAGATTTAGGATGCTTGTTATTTCTTAATGTAAGTGGTGGTTGTTACACTAGTGTTCATTTCATATACCCATATTCTGAACACTGATGTTGGATGTGTGTTATATTTTACAATAAAAAGGTTTTTAAAAATCTAGTTTGAATCTTGAAAAGGTGCATCTCCCTTTGACTTAGCAGGAATTACTTGTTGGTGATTTCCATTTATGTTTGGAGAA